GGCGCCCAGTCCGTTCCCAAGTCCGCTTTATTCCTTTCTGGGACGAGTTGCAGCAGGTGGTCTTCTGCCAGAATGAGGCCTTGGGAATTTGTGCGGGGAGGTTGAGCTAAAAGTGAGGGGAGAGCAGCTCGGTGGCTGCTTCTTGGTGATACCTTCTCTGTGTTTTTGGAAGCAGAAGGTGCTTGCTTGCAGATCCTGCAAGTTTTGCCTTTTCAGGGTTGGAGGTTGGTTTGGGTATGTTAGGTTTGAGAATCACCAATGTTGTTAGTAAGGAGCACAGGCTTGTGCTAACAGTAGAGAGACACTGTCTGAACAGGAAAGTGATCTCAGAAAAAGCCTCTGAATACCAGGAAAACTAACAAAACTATATTTATGTGGGTAAAATGAATAAATAAATGTCTTTTCAGGCCTTTAATTTGTATTAATTTTTTTTTTTCTGTTTGTTTTCTCGCCTCCCAGGGAGTTGCTTTAAGGAACATGGAGGAGTGAACTCCCTGCAGTTTCTTGAGTTTCTCATCTATCAGATTTTGACATGATCAAGTGTTTGGCGGAAGATGTGCGAGCCAGGCTGCGTTCTGGAGTGACTATCAGCTCACTTGGACAGTGTGTTGAGGAGCTTGTCCTCAACAGCATCGATGCCAAAGCAACATGTGTAGCTATCAGGGTGGATTTGGAAGCCTTTAAGATCCAAGTGGTGGACAATGGCTCTGGGATGGGGAGAGAGGACTTAAATGCAATGGGAGAGCGATACTTCACCAGCAAGTGCAGCTCAGTGGGTGACTTGGAGAACCTGACATTCTATGGCTTTAGAGGAGAGGCTGTGGCAAGCATAGCCAACATGGCCAGCATAGTGGAGGTTTCGTCTAAAACCGGCACGACAGCGAAAACATTTGTGAAACTATTTCACAATGGGCAAGCACTGGAAGTCTGTGAAGCCGAATTGAGCAGACCAAGTCGGGGGACTACAGTCACCGTGTGTAATCTGTTTCACCAGCTACCGGTGAGGAGAAAGTGTATGGATCCTACGCTGGAATTTGAGAGAGTGAGACAGAAAGTGGAAGCTGTTTCACTGATGCATCCCTCTATTTCACTTTCTTTAAGGAACGACGCTTCTTGTTCTATGGCACTTCAGCTCCCTAAGACAAGAGATGTGTACTCTCGATTTTGTCAAATTTATGGACTGGGCAGATCTCAGAAGTTACGAGAAATAAATCATAAATCTGGGGGATTTGAATTAAGTGGTTTCATCGGTATTGAAGGACATTACAACAAGAATATGCAGTTCTTGTATGTGAATAGAAGGCTTGTTTTAAAGACAAGACTACATAAACTAATTGATACTTTACTAAGAAAAGAAAGTGTCATTTGCAAGGCAAAAAGTGGTCCTGCAAGTAGACAGGTTGGCTCGAGTCCCAGTCATCATCGTTGTGGCCCAGAGTTGTATGGGATCTTTATTCTCAATGTGACCTGTGCATACAGCGACTATGATGTGTGTCTGGAACCTGCAAAAACTCTAATTGAGTTCCAGAACTGGGATGCTCTTCTAAGTTGCATAGAGGAAGGAGTGAAAATATTTTTGAAACGAGAGCATTTATTTATTGAACCATGTAATGAGGACATCAAAGAATTTAATGAAGATAATGACTTTAGTGTCCATAATGCTCCAGTTCTGAAGCCCTTGATCTCTGTGGAGAAGAGCATCCAAGACAGTTTTAAGAAAGCATGCAATGAAATTGCAAATTCCTATGAAATGTGTAACTTACAGTCAAAAGATGTCAAAAGGATATCCGTTACTGGAAAAACATCTTCAAGTCTTACAGAGTCAAATAAAAATCTTCAGGAAACTGAAGTCACCCCAGATGAGAAGATTGCTGAACCAACTGATCCATGTAGAAATAAAGCAGAGATTCCACTGCCCACTAAAGATGACACAGCTTCTAATTTCGTTATATCAGGTATCTCAGAGCAGGAACCAAAAGGCACTAACAGTTCCCCAAAAGCATCTGATACTCATCTGAAATGTTCACAAGATCTTTGTTCCTCTTACAGTGGAGGGGCCAGATCAGAAGTAAGAAAAATAGATGACGGTTGTGGTGACCTGCAGCATTGTGCAGAGAATTACAGAAAAGATATGGGAAACTGGCAGGGCAAAGTAGTGCAGAAAAGCAACATGGTCCATATCTTAAATAACGATGTTATTCGATTGCCACCTGAGAGAGAAGACCCTACTGAAGCAGAAACGGGACCTGAAACTGTCTCTGGAAGTTCATTGATGAGACTGTGTGGTGAAGGAGGAGGAGATGGAGAAACAGCTGAAGTCGCAGATGATGCAGGCGTAGGGGTTCTTAGTTCAATACCGGTAAAACTGTGCTCCGCAGGGCTCGTAACACGTGTTTTGCAAAGTGAGCCCCCACGTGAATGCGAGCAAACAGAAACAAATCTTGCATTAAATGAGCAGGGTAGACCCGGCCCTGTTCGTGCTAAGGATATTTTTGGCCACAAAGTTAATTTTCCAATTCAGTCTTTAAATGCAAAGGATATTTCCAGTAATAGAAATAAAGAATATGCAACTCCTTACACCAGAGATGTATGCATTGCTGGTGTTAGTGTGTTGTTGGAGAACAAAACTTTGTCAAATGAGGTGCGTGAGGAGGTAGCTGTGCCTCTTGCCACCAGTAAAAGGCATTGTGAGAGAGAACAAAACTTTGTCAAATGAGGTGCATGAGGAGGTAGCTTTGCCTCTTGCCACCAGTAAAAGGCATTGTGAGGTATCAAAGGTTACAGAATTGCCACTGGCAACTTCTTCAGGTATTTCTCACAATAAAGTTATAAAAAGCACCAGAAGACAAATAGCTGTGACGAGATCTCAGCCCTCTAGGAAGCTGAGCTTGTCCACACAGCTGGGTTCATTAGAAAAGTTCAGGAGATATTACGGGAGAGTCAAGTGCACGGTGCCAACACCATTGGCAGAGCGGAGTGAGTTTTGTGTCTCAGATTTTAATACACAAAATAACTGTGACTTTTCAAAGAATGAGAATGATAGTTGTGGTAACTTGAGCACTTGTGAAACTCCAACTGTGGAAGATACAGATTCTAATAACAGTGGCCAAGTTTTTAGTTCTTTGGAGGAGACTTTATTCTGCAGTGGAGAAACTTCACAAGACAAACGAGCCCTTTGTCAGACTCCTTTGACATTGTCTGATTACTCTCAGCTTATTAAAAAAAATACCAGTTGTAAAAGATCTCTGGCATCATTATCATCCAAACTGTCCAGAATGAAAAGTGACCACAAAGAAGTAAAACAACTCCGTGAACAATTCCAAACAGATTCAAGTAGAAAAGATGACCACTCTTGCGATACTGAATCTTCAAGTAATGATTTTTTGTATAATGCTTGTCAAACATATAAATCCTCAGTGGAAAAAATGAGGGAATGTAATTACAGTGTTTCTAAGGGGCAATCCGACAGTATGAGAGCAGAGCCCATGAAAAGTACAGTCAGCCCATCACCACTCGGCAGCATAGAAGGAGAGTGCACAGTCTCTTCGACCAGTGCTTTATCATTACCTGCTGCAAAGGATTGTACTGACATCTATAAAGACAAAAGTACGATAGATGAATCCTCAGAACAGGATTCGAGAGATACTGAGGTTCCTCATGTGACCTTCCCAAGTAACTGTGAAGTCTCTGCAGATAACAGAGTGACGGGTGATCCCAGGAATGATCTGTGGTGTTCAGACTGGATGCAGGATTTTGATGTTTCCTCAGGTAGGACAATATACATCAACAAAGCAACCGGACTGAGCACCTACGGCACTCCTCCTCCTGAAGGATTTCAGGCTGCCTGCGTTCAAGATATAACAACAATGGCTGTGAATGTTGTTTCAGAGAGCGGTAAGAGGGGAGGTGTTGGTGGTTGTGTAAAACGGGATGAGGAAAATGGTTATTGTTCTGTTAGGTGCGTAAAATATCTCGCTGGAAGCACCTGACAGTTTATACTGAAATAGCCACTGCCTTGCATGTAATGGCTGTATGGAAAACAGGAGGGTGTCAGGAACTATGAAATCAGTAAAACATTAGCATTCAAGATATTAAAAGATCATTTTAATGAAAGTAAAAGGAAATGTCAGCAACTTGTCAATTTAACAGATGGCTGCTTAGTTTTCACTGCACGTCATGACATTTACTGTGATCATAGTTATGTATAATTGTTGTTATATAAAAAGAGAGAAACATACCTCAAAGTAAACGTACCAGAAAAATATTGTGGATTTTAACATTTTGTCCTAAACGGTTGCTTTTCTAAGAATGTGTTGTTACTGAGAGTCCCATATTAAAATGATCTTTTTTCAACCTGCATACAAAATTTAAGACAACTCTTCAAAACCAAACAAAAATCTAACCTTTGAGAACGTGTAATCTCCTTTGGGAGGCTGTTGCTTCACACTTAGCTTTGTAGGAGATGTTGTACAGCATTGATGGTGGTTTGGTGGTGGAGCTTTTCCAGGGGTGACGGGACACTACGTTGTGTTGGTTTTTCAGAGGTGTAGTGTTCATGAGTCTTCACTGATCTGTCTGTCAGGTTTGGCTTTCTGTGCCCTCCTGCTCTGGCTTGGCAGAATAGTGTCTTTGATAATTTTCCCTTCCGTGGGTGTATCTTTGTTCAAAGCTGTGCTTTATTCTGTCTGGAGGCAAATTTTATGACTGAAGATGCAGCCATTCCACGTGTAGACTCTATTTTCTACTGCACAAGTTGTTTTGAAAAAGTAGTTTGGACTTCTTTCTAGTTAATTCTCCTGTGAAGTATTTGGCTAATTAACCATGAAAGCCTCTGGTTTGTTCCAGTTTTGTCTGTTACTTCCTTCTTTGTCACCGTTTGTAGAAACACTGATGCAGTAGCTGTTTTGGTTGTTAAACTGTTCCCTTTTATGTATAATAATTGATGTCAATACTTCTTAATATTTGTTGTGCACCACTGAAGTAAATGTGTTCTAAGAAGAACATCTATGGTGTTATTAGTCAAGGAGGATACATTTGTGCTTGCAACCACAAATGTACACTCCTTGACCACTTTTAATTTCTGTGATTTGCCAGTTTCAGATGCCCACAGTGCTGTTCAGTAGCCACCCAACGCACTGAGATGTGGAGCTTGACCTTCTGTCCAAAATGTTTGGATATCCTATTATTTTCTATCCAAAAGATGTGGATAGTGCATTCATGTTTATGAAGAGAATACCTCATGTTACCCTGGTACCTCGTGTTACCAGATGATGTGTAGTCTGTAATCTCTGAAAACATGTACTGTGTTGCATCTTTCTACCTCCAATGGCATTGTTCTTTCTTAGCCTTATCGTTGGTGTCACTCTTCATTGTATCAATGGTGCCACTCTTTCTTAACACAGTCAATGGTGTTATTCTTTGGCAATGTCTACTGCAACTTGTTTGCTTTTTTTAGGTTGAATGTCAGACCTCATAGACCTTCACAAGGTGTTTGAGCTGGGGCTAGACCCTGTAGAGCTTAGATTTTCTAAGTTCAGCAAACATGTTCTTTCATGTGTTTTTCAAATAAGGGATATGAATTCTTTTTAGCTGTAGGAATACATGTAACTGTGTCCTAACACAGGATTCGTGTCTCTTGATGTTGAGCGCTGTTTAGTACCACTGGTAAGACCCAGGAGTGGAGTATTTGCTATATATGCTTTCATTTTGCTTTTTGAAGTAGTGTTCGTAACCCCATGGTGTTAAATTTCGTGGCCCCGTGATTTCTGAGGAACAGCACTTCATAAACAAATTTAGGAAAATTACACTGGTTGGTGATAGGTGGAAGGAGATAAGAATAATGCATGTCTTTTTTTCCATGACAGCAGTGGCCATGTGCTATCTCTTCGGATCACAAGTCGTGTGCTCAGTAGAAATGCTAGGATTTGTAGGTTAGACTCAGGCATCATTGTACTGATTTGAGCTGATTGTTTTAGGAAAATTTATCAAGCTTTTTGAGTAATCTAATGCTGTGCATTTGTAGTAAGCTAACATCTCAGTTCAACTTGGTGTTTGTTGTTACGCCAGCTCTTTTTCCATTTTTTGTTACTTTTCTTACGTTATTTACTGATATGTCATTACACTGGTTTATTTTAATGATCTAACTGAGGCAAGTGAAAATGAATACGCAAGTATGGTAATTGTATGTGGTTTGCATGTGTAAAGTAAATTACCAGGAACCACGTGAGGACATCTCGTCCTCTGTTCTGGGTTTTGTGACCATGGGATGCTGAGTTACTCTTCCATGCTGGGCTGCCAGTTTGAATTCCTGAAAGGATTCTTGGTCCCCAGGGTAGGACCATCACTGGTCCTTACTGGAATGGAGCCAACACTCTGGAGTCTTTGGACTGGCAAAGAATCTTATAGAGCTTTTTCACACCGACCTTATCAGCATGCAGCTGGTTTTCTTTGGCGTTATCACTCTGCCACTTTTCCTGAATGCACACCCTTAATTTCTCAGTAGAAAGGAACTTTATTAATTCATTATTATTACACAAAGAATAGAAGTTTGAATTGTACCAAAGGAAGGGTGAAATGTTTACCACTGTGCTGGAAATCTGGGCCACTTTTCTTAACAATCTTGATAACAGTGCAGATTTGTAATATCATTAAATAATTTCTGGGTGGGTAGGAACATGTTGTTAGGCTTACTTTGATATCTCATGTGATCTCGTTGACTTGTAGTTTTCAGTTTTACAAGTTCCTGATAACTGTATTAAGTTTTGATAGGAGTGATGATGGACTGATATTTTGCCACTCCTTAATAGAGGGAATTCAAGAGTGTTTTTGACATCTGACAGACTACTATATGCCTCTTTTACTTTGGGGATAACACTTCTGATTGCACTAATTCTGGAAATAATTGTTAAATGTTTAAAGCAGCAGCCAGTTTTTAAGGGCAGTCCTGCAGAAGCCATGGTAGTATTTTAAAATATCTGATGCAGGTGTGTCTGGTAATTCTCATCTTTTTATATAGGTGCTGTTATTTCTCAATGTTAGATTGCAAAATCTGTGTGATACTTTAATTTGTTACTAATCTAATAATCTCATATGATACTCTAAGGACATGCTCATTTACAAGTATTTAATAATTGTATAGCTTTTTGTAATTTTATGTGCTGTTGAATCTGCAGCAGTAAATTTATATATATTGTGTTTAGGGATTCAGTTCAGGTGTCATCCCTTTAGAAGTGAGATTGTGCTACCCTTCCTTCCTAGACCACATAAAGAGAAGACTCTAGCAAGCCAGGATCTGAGAGGTAGGGGCAGCTTTCCAGGACACAGTGTTCTGTGGTTAAAAAAAATCAAAGAATTCTCCCAGATGTCCCAACAGGAACCCAGTGTTACTCAAGGTCTGTTAACAATGGGACCATGTGAGTCATCTCAAATCTAGAACTGCAAAAAAAAAAATCTTTTAGGGTTGAAGGCAGGTTAGGGGATACTTATTTACAGGATGAAATACCCAGTTCTTTGTTGAATTATGTCAGTAGTTTAAAGAATAATTACCTTCTCCCTTCTTTGTACTCGTTCCAACCTTGGAATGTGAAAAATAGGTTCAATCCTCACAATTTCTTTTGCTCTGGAAAGGATGAAATCATCCTTTTGGTATGTGGCTTTGTCCAAGGGATTGGGTAGCTAACCAAGTCTTTCTCCCCCACCCCATTTCCAGGGTCTGTTGAATTGTGCTGCAGCATGTTTAGGAGTCAGAAAGCTGCACAGTGACCTTCCTAGTTACAGCAGACAATAGAGAAGCCTGGTGTCATGTTCCATTATTTATTTGTACCTTCTCCTCTTTTTATGAAGGAAAAAAAAAAAGTATTAATTATGTGGGGTAGAGGTACCCGATGCACCTTCTGACAGTTGGTGGTAGTCCCTGTATTATCTGTGTGTTCCTTCCTAGATGCTGAAGGGGAGTCTCTCCAGTCATTGCTTTCAGAATGGGATAATCCCGTTTTTGTTCCCTGCCCAGAGGTACGTGTTATCTCGCTTCTCATGTTAAAATGTGACTCATTGTAGCCTTCTGTTATTTTCTGATGTGACGACTGAAATTGCAAATATTGTAGTTGTTGCATATAAGTTATCCAGTGATACATTAGACTATAGACCTGACAGTTACGTGTTTTTATAGACAGTTTATGTGTAAGTCTTTGTCGTGGATTATTCAAAGTCAGAGAAGCAGGTATCAGGCTGAACTTTTGCCTTACATAATTTCAAAAGCAAAATATTATTGTAAACTGTCTTTCCCTCTACAGACGTAGTCATCTTAAAACAAAAAGTTGTTGAATGGCAAAATTGTAATATACATCTCTGCCCTCTTTGTGGACACAGTTAAAAACAGCTTTCTTCTCTGGGATGCAATGGATCTTAAAAGCGTTATTTTACTGTAGTTGTTTTTATAGCCTGGTGGAATTATGGCATGTGAGAGGGAAACAATGTTGGAACTTTTAGAAAAACTTCCTTTGTTGTCATGAGGTCACATTATCTTTAATCATCATGTTGTGTGTGTGTAAACATATGTATGCAACCATTTCCACCTGCAAACAATAGGGATGGAGTAGCAAACCACCTGCTGGTGACTTTCGGAGAAGGAACATCAGTTCGGTTGTTGCTGTGACGTGCTCTGACTCATTTCAGGGCAGTACATCTTCTGGAGTGCAGGCTGATAGTTAGCTGCAGGTTTTCTGACAGGAATGCATTGAAGGTTGCAGGTAATATCCAGATGGGAAAGTACATGAGGATGGAAGCAAAGGGATTGCCGGATGGTGGCTTCAGCTGGGACAATTCTTATGCAGAAAGCTTGGTTTGCCAAAATACAGGGTTGTTTCCAGTTTTACTTAGAGCTGGTTTGTTGGAAGTATTTTGTGTGTGTTTGGGGTTTTGCCATATCCTTTATCATCCCCTTGATCTGCAGTTCTGTTTTTACAGATTGCCGTTGATGTGACCAGCGGTCAGGCTGACCATCTGGCTGTGAAAATTCACAATATCTTGTATCCTTATCGTTTCACCAAAGACATGGTTCATTCAATGCAGGTACAATATGTTCTATTACTAGTCCCCCCCCCCCCCACCCAACGTTTTCTTGTCCCCCCCCCCCCAATTCCCTCTCAGACAGTGAGCTTTGTGTAGTGGGAAAGAGGTATCCAGGGAAATAGTTCATATCCCTAATTTTCACAAGCACAAACAGAATTCTTGGTTGCTGTGTGATACTGTATGTCATGCCAGACCTAAGTCATCAGATTCTTAATCAGCTAACTGCGAGTGACTCCAAAATTCCTTGACTACAGTTAAATCAAATCAAAAAGTAGCCCTGTTTCTGCTGCTTAGGAACACTGTTAACCAAATCATACTTCAGTGGGCATGTTTTTATATTTTTTGTAGGCTTTTACTTAGTTCATATTCCTCTGAAATCTGTGTCCTGTGTCTTTCTTTTCTATTGATCTTAGAAATGTGATTTTTCAGCAGAGTAGCTTCAAAAGCAAATCCCACATTTTGTAGGATTTCACTTTAAGGTTTAGGTCTGCTCTGAAAAGTGATTCTTAAAAATGGCATCATAACATCAAGTCTAACCATTTTAGTGCTTCTTTATCAAACATTTCGAATGTTAGCTTAAAATCTAATCGAATATATGGCTTCAGCTTACATTCTTTGATGGTTTGCCTGGATAGAAATGTGAAAGTGGATTCTCTCCCTCACTTGCATCCCAATGACAAAAGGCTTAGAGACCAAGTTAGTGTTTTCTCAGGCAATTAGGTTGCTGACTTTGAGATTGCAGGTTCTCGCTGGGAGGGGTCTAGTAATGTTGATCTCCAAATGATTCCCTTACTTATGCTGCGTGTGCAAGAATAACAGGAGTAAATAAAGTTATCACAGTAAACAGATAATCTTTAAAAGAGCCAGAGGAAAGCTGGAAAATGAACGGTACCATTTTTCTGTTCACTTCTCATAATAAGAACTGTTCTCTTTATTTTTACCTAGCAGGTGAGCTGTGCACATGGGAGACAGAGAATTCAGAGTGAGCTTTATCTTATGTGGTCTGGGAGAAATTCCTCCCTAACACCACATCTGTTAAATGAAGTCTAACAATAAGATACTGAAAGCGTCTATTCCCTGTAGCTCTGGTTGATTTCTAATGCTTGAGGGACAGGTGAAATCAAGTCATAGAGGCAAATTCTATATTAGAAAACGAGGAGGCAAAAAAATGCTTCCTGGCTCCTACAGACATGATCAGCACAAGTCCTTAGTCACAGGGCAGGTTAAAAAAGGTTGTTTACAGTCTCTTTTGGAGATACCAGCAAATCAAATACTCAGTCACTGCGCACAGTTTTAATTCCCAACACAAGGAGGCTTCTACATCAGCGTTTAATCCATTCTGTAAATTTCCAGTTCCACCTCCGAACAGTTAGAGATCTTGGCCTTGTGACTCTCTGAAAAAAATTGATCCAGAATTATTTTCTTGGGTATTTTGAAACTTTCTCTTAGTTGCAGAATAAACTGTTTCGTGACTGATTTACAGTCCTTTTACCATCTGCCAGTATTGTCTTTTAGCTTAAATAATTGCTGCCTTTTCCATATTTAGCCCCCCACTGTATTTATAAAGAATAATTATATACCTTCTGAGTCTCAGTTTTGCTAGGCCAAATACTTTAAGCCTTTGGGCTTAGAAAAGATGTGGTTTCCACTGCCCTAATCATCCTGCTAGCTATTTGTTGTACTTAATCTGTTTTGATTGTTGTCTTTTTTTGTTTTGTTTACTTTGATTTTAAAAATAATTTTACCACTGGGTAATGATTTTTCTGAGTGTCTTGCAGGTTCTTCAACAAGTGGACAATAAATTTATCGCTTGTTTAATCAACACTAGGAATGAAATGGATAAAAAGGCAGGTAAGAGTGGCTAACATGAACTCGAGGTGGCTGTCAAGTGCAGTTAGACTGCAGAGGGAACACTGTCCTGTTTGTATTCTCGTCTTGCCTTGAGATGATATTATGAGTAGAGGAAAATGTTAGTCTTCACTTGAAATTTCCTGGATCTTCTTTATTTTGGACATTGTTGAATGTTCCTACTGCCTTCAGATTAGTGTTATAAAAATAGATTTTACTCAAATTACTAACGTCTTTCAGACTCTGTTCACAGCGTCTGTACATATTCATTGTTGAAGCTTGCTGAAGCTGTACAAAAAAGCCATTCAAACCCAGTAGCTCTTGTAACATTTTAAAAGACAGTATTAAACAGAAAAGTTTTTGGGTGACCTCAGCTCTCATTCTGGAGTTAAACGAAGATGTCGATAGACCAGAGTTTCTGGCTAAATCTAAGTACCTTAATTTAAATGCCAATTTGGATCACTAATTTCTGTTCTCTAGTGACTTTATGTTCTGCCAACATAGCCTCCTCCTCACTTTATTTCTGTAAAACTGGCTGATAGTTATCTTCTAAATGTGGCCTCTAGAGGTGGTCATTCTTCCCAACCGGTGCAACACTCTGGCACAAAGTTGCCTTTTTCTCATCTGTTGTGATATGTTTTTAGATGGAAACCTCTTGATTTTGGTGGACCAACATGCAGCTCATGAACGGATCCGCTTGGAGCAGCTTATTGCAGGTGAGGATTCAGATGGTCTTAGAAAGAAAGATAACCAGTGCACAGAAGAGTACAAAAGAGCTGTCTGGAAGTTTGCTGACTAACTTACTGTAAGGATAAATCTGGGATGCATGGAACCAATAGGATATTAATTTGTCATCTTTATCCTGGTCCCTAGGAGAGTCCAGATAGTCAGTATCTGTAGCAGCCATAGTATTGGCAGCTGAAAATTGTTACAGCATTTCCAAAAATAGAAGATATACTCCCTGCCCACAGAACTATCAAACTAAAATAGTCCTGACATAATGAAAGAGCAGGAAGACTGATAGGAGAAACAATGAAGCGGAAATAGAACATCAATAAGATTATGTGGTTGTGTTGTGAAGAATAAGACACAGGATGGAGAGTAAAGAGCATAGTTCATTTCGTCCCTTTTTAGCTGAATACTGTGCTTAAAGGCTAGAATTTCCCCAATCTGAAACTGTTTGCAGAGGGATGATGGTCTTCTCTGTAAGCTCATTAGCCATTGGTTTCCATGTTAAAGAGCACAATAGCCATCCCTCAAGTATTTAAAAATCATTGACCTTCTCTTTCATCAGTAAATACTATGCAGTTCCTGCAGAGAGGGTGCCAGGAACTCTGCTCCTTTTGGTCAAGTACTGAAAAAAGTTAAAGACTGAAGGAGAAATGCCTAATGAATAGTATTTTAATGCCATTTATATCAGACTTTTCTGTGCAAAACTTGCTCTCTGTGTGTTGGACTAAATATATCAGTAGGGTTTTTCTTTGCTATTTAGGGTGACTCTTTTTTTTTGGAACTGGTGGGAAAAAACAAAGTGGCATTAACCAGCCTTTCCCCAGAGACTAGGTGTCTGGTTTGTGACATTCCCAGTCCTCCACAAGTTTCAGGAGAAGGCATTCTGTGGTCACTTTTTAATCCAAACAGAGGACTGCATGCCAAACCGTAGGGTCATTAAGGGTAATGCCTGCATAAATGTCCTAAGAGAAGATATTTCTAAACAATTCATTCACAGACTCCTATGAGAAGGAAGCTGCAGCATGTGGCAAGAAGAAATTACTGTCCTCCTCCATCTCTCCCCCTTTGGAAATTGAAGTTACAGAAGAACAAAGAAGATTTCTACGGTTAGTAGTGGCCAGTAGCTCTAAACTTTTTGAGACGTCTCTGTTGCACAGGAAGAGCTCTCTCTATTGCTAGATTAACATGCAGCTCAGGAAAGAAGCTGTTGATTCTTTCCTGAGCTGAGACCAATCAGCTATATCTGTGCTGAGGATAATAGTGTGCTTCTTGGCACATCGTTACAATATCTCAAGACGAAAACCCGGTGGTGTGCCGCCTCTGTGCCTCTGCAATGTGCTCTGGTTTCCCTGGGAAATTAAACCTCCACGTGTGGGCCAGGAGAGTGCCAAAGCCGTCTCTGACAGATCCTACTGCCTGGGGCTCGTGACTTGGGAGTGCACGCCACAGTGCTGTGCCCACAGTGTCGTGGAGTTACTGATACGACAGGTGCCATTTTTGAAGAGCAGGATGGGCTATGACAAGTTCGTATTATGAATCCTTCAGAAATAAATTCCTTAAAAGGAATGTTTTGGAATGGTGGACCAGCTACTATTATGATATTTAACTTCTGTACCACAAGAGTTTAGATAGAGATTTGTTGTTGGACTATTGCAAACCTACCTGAGAGTAGACAAACTTTTTTTCCCCAAAAAATCTTGTCTGTCATGTGCCACATGCATCTGTGCTTTGGTTTTTTTGTTGTTTTTTTCCCCCTGCATTGTTCTTCATTTTCAGGCATATTTTAGCATCCATAGGATTACCTCATTATTCTCAGACTGCTTTTTTTTCTGATGTCTGTGGCCCACTCAACAGCTTTTAAATTATTCCTTGTTAAGAATGTTGCCTGTGTAGGAATACACTTGTTTGGTGTAAAACCTTTTTGGAGTGTGTTCCAACCATAACAATATCACTGCTCTATCTGTTTGGTAACTCTTTTGTGTGGCAATGTCCAATACCAGAATTTCCAAAGAGAAACGTAAAACACTGTTATGTTCTACCTGCCTTAGGAAAAAATATAAAAAGGTAACCATTGCAGTTTGTGGTTCAGAAATATTTGGATGCTTTTTTTGTTCTCACCTCTTAATGATGTTCTTGCTAACATCACAATATTTGTAATGCCTCTTGTTGAACTTTGGATTATTTTTGCACTTATCCTTCAATGTCTTTAATTTCTGGTATATCTACCTTTGACACTGGATGGCCAAAACTGAGTACAATATACAAAGTGAGGGTGTACCATTGATTTGTACAATAGCTTTGCAGTTGTGCCCGTATTTTCTGTTTATTATGCCCACACTTGATACTTTGTCTGCTTTTTTAGGCTATTCCTGCTTGCGTGAACTGCTTGTTTATTGAATGGTCATGACAATGAAACATGGAGTTGTGGCTGAGTTTTTTATTTATTTTTTTCTATTTAAGTAGGAGCCAACAGAAGGTACAAATAGATCAAATTATTCCTGATGCTTTACATTTATTTGTCTTTAGGAGCAGTGAACACGGGTTTTCTGTCCACTTTTCATCCTGCTTTTTTCATTCATCATTTTTTGACTTGTTTTAAGTTCGATGTCAGCTTTAGTCTCAACTAACTTAAATAATTTTGTATTTTCTACAAAAGTGCCTGCTTGACCATTCCCCTTCTTTTCCACATAATTTGTATATTTGTAAACAATTACAAATATACAGATGAGAACTCATGTCATGTTAAACACTGACCATCTGGTACCAGCATACCTTTTCTCCGTGGTCTCCAAGTCATCACAAATGTTACTTCTCTATGACAACTTTTTGCATTTGCATTTCTAGCCGCATTTAAGAGGCAGCATCAAAGATGGCAAGAGGCTTTTTGAAAGAGCACATGAATTCTATGAGCTACTTTTCTTCATCAACTAAATCACAAACGTACTACAAAAATCAGTCAGATGAAGGAAATCAGAGGCATGGTTTTCTTTTAAGGACACTGGTTGAATTATTCAGCACTGGGATGTGAGTTGTGATTTTTAGTTATCACTTGAGATAATTGATTCAGGAAGCTTAATGGTGCTGACATTTAGTGGTGCTTTTATTGTGTTCGTCTTTAATTTATCAGTATTTATTGGCAGTTCCTCTCTTTACCATGACTCTATCTTTTCTACAAAGTTACAAATTAAAAATTCTGTTGTTATTGTTGCTGGCGGCGTATAACTGTATTCTGGGGTAAGGTTTGATGTAATAAAATAAATTAACTTCCCTAAAAGATCTTTCTCTTCAGCTATATTTGCTATTCAATACTTCAGCTAGACCTCTGGTTCACCTGCAGGTTTTCTGTTATTTGTCTACTACGCATTGTAGTAATGCATTGTTCTGTTGACTCTCTTGAACTTCCTTTTAGGCTTTTTTTTCCTTAAAAAAAAAGAAAGGCCTCATTGACTTCAATAGCTGCTTGGACTCTGTCATTTCACCACAATGGGCTTTTTCTGTCTTTCTCTGCTCTTGTTGAAGGCTATACGTGTCTTCTTTTTGGGGGTAGAATTACACAAGTCATCTCCATATGGAGGCTAATGTATTATTCTCAGGACTGATTTCAGTAAGTTTAATTAGGTTCTTTTTTGTTCAAAGAATTTCTTTTCTAAAATTGACCTTCACCACCTTTGTTTTAAGTGAATATTCCATTAGTTAGTAAACTATGTATTATTACAGTTGTTTTCATTTTGAAGACAAATGCTCATTTGACTGTGAAGTCTTGGTTTTGTGTGTATTTTTCCAGCTATAGGGTCACATATGTCAGATTAAGTAGAGGTTGTTCTTTCATGAGTTTTCTTTGCTTAATGGGATATAAAGCTCATTAAATCACACATTTCTTACAATATTTTTTCCATTGTAAGCCTTTCCTATGACATGTCAATTGCAATGACATTTTTGGGGGGAATAGACTTAAAGGAGTCTTTATGCTGCGTAATTTCAATATTTGGAGTGTTTGTATATTGAACCAGACGCTTGGTGCATCTTTAGAAAAGACAGATGTGCAAATTTAGATACAAACTTTCTCTCCACATAATACAGGAACTCTTAGATCTTGTGGTTCTGGAACATGAAATATGCACAGTAGACTGGAGTGAAGAAACATGGCTGAATGTAGGCTGAAAGGACAAAATTACTTGGAATCTTGTGATGCGAGAATTTTAAGACTGGAAGCTGTTGCAGGAGGAAGCATATATGAGGATTACAGAAATGTTTACATCTGCTGTGAAGACGTAGCTCCTGTGGTTGATGTCTTACTTCTGGTATTTTTTTTTCCTCAGATGCTGCTACAAAAATTTGGAGGACTTGGGTCTTGAGTTGTCATTTCCTGAGACCAACAGCTCCTTGATTCTAGTGAGGAAAGTGCCGCTGTGCTTTATAGAAAGAGAAGCCAATGAATTGCGTCGGAAAAGACAGCCTGTCACTAAAAGCATTGTGGAGGTCAGCTGTGGATAGGGATGAAATTGTGATACTGGGTCTTGTTCTGTGTTAATGGTCCAGGGTATTAGAGTATCTTTGTTATAAGGGAGATGATTAAGTCCCCTGGAAGATGTGGAGGCTTTTAGTAGCTATATAGCCCCACAGCTGAAGCCCCTGAATTGTAACAGGAAGGATAGGAAACTGTTTCAGACTTGGGCTAGTGGAGAAGCTAAGAAAAATAGTAGATAGTACAGGTGTTTCAATAATTTACTGCTCATGAATCCTTGAATGAAGAGTAAAATAGTTAATATTGCTCATACAGAAATATTATTTGTTAGAACTTGAAGTTGTTTTCATGGAATCTCTACATGGGCAGTACAGCTTTCTAAAAGCTGCTGTTCCAGATGTTCTGCAGTTTAACAAAGTGATTGCTGAACTGATTACTTGCAGTTTTCATTGTAAACAATTCTCCACAATCATAACTGCTTCAAGAACTCCTTGAAAATTGTTTCAGGAATACTGTACTCAGCCACTAGGCTGAGCCACTGCGAATCAGTCCGCTCTTGCTATACATCTCTTTTGGCATGGAAAAACAAAGAGGGAAGAGGATTCATCTCATTTAATTTTCTTTTCCAAACTTGATATAATAGGGAAGAACTCGAAATTTGCTCTCCCGGTGTGATCTGAGAGGCAAGAGCACTAGAAGTGGTGGAGGAGGGGATCAGGTGTGTGCCTCATGAGCACTCATTCTTTGCTGACGCCTCAAGATCTCATGAGCGTTTGGGCAGATCTGTACTGCAGTCCGTTTTACTTTAATAAGGACTGGTGGCACCTATTAACGATTGATTATGAATTCATTGTATTTTAGACATCAGAAATAACTGCAGACATGGACTACTATCCAAAGAAGAAAGGGCAGCTATTTAAAGATAACGTGCATTTATTGCACTCTCAGGTAGTTCCATTACATCCATTCTGCAGATACAAAACTGATGCAGAGAGAAGCCAAGAGATCTTATAATATACTTGTGATAGGTCAGGGTTTGCACCTAAATCTTTCATCCTGCAGCCAGTATACTAGCAAGAACATAATTTTTCCTAGTTCTGGCAGTTACATAGTATTATACATAGATGTGAACAAAGCAGGGTATGGGCAGTGAAAGTGAGAAATCGCAACTGTTGATATTACTTTTTTTTTTTTTCCAGGAGCTTATTCAAGAACAAGTTGAGGTGAGTTGCTGTCTGCTTCTAAAGTGGACTGTAATAAGACAAAGCTTACTGCATAAACCAAAGGGGTTAAGTGCATTAAGCCTCAAATGAGGCAGGTGGACTAGATAGTTGTGGTTCAAGCTGACTGGGACAAAGAACCGTGCGGTCTCCACCTCACTCCTCCCCCCACTCCCATTTCAACAGTGATGTGGGGTGAGATAATTCAACTAAAAAGGCTCAAGGGTTTGAGATTAAGGATGGAAGGGGAAAATAATTTACCATTTAAGATGACAGGTAAAGAACCAGAGTGACCTGGGGAGAAAAAACATAGTTTTAATTCACCATGACCATTTACAAAGTAGGATAGTAAGAGGAATACATCAATAAATATGACCCGATCTTAAACACGCTTTGCCCACCACGCCCACCCCTTCCATCTCCCCGGCTACCTGTTCCCCCTCATCAGTGCAAAGGCGGCAGGCAGTGGGGGGTTCGGTCCATCTGGCCATTCCTCATTGTCCATGACAGCTCCTCCTTGAGAAAGGGGGCTCCATGCAGTCTCTATTTTCCTGCTTCGTGGTGTCCGCCTCACAGGAGGCAATCCTCTTCCTCCTCATAAGTCCCTCGGGGCCACGGATCGCTTCAGGCTTGTCCCTCGCTGATGCTCAGTCTCTATCCCCTCTCACATGGGGCTCTGCACATACCGACACATCCTGGACCTTCTCACCACCGTCGGTCCCCCACCTGGCAGGCAATCACCTTCCTGCCATCTCAAGCACCGCTGGATTCAGGGAAAGCTCCTGCTCATTCTCCTTCTCCTCCTCTGAGACTCCTCTTCCCCTCTTTCTTCTCAGGGTGACAGTCCTTTGTTCTCCTCTCACCTCCCCCTCCTCCAGCAGAAAAGCTCCCCAACATTAAAGGCAGAGCAGCTCAAAACAAGATGAAACCTCCTAAATACCTTGATGGCAGAGGTGCTGATTTGCCTGGCCCTGGCCAGAAGCAGGTCTAACTCCTACCTGGGGGTGGGGGAGGCTCTCGAAGTTTCGCACGAGGGTTCCCTCATTTCTTCCAAAAAACCCCCATCAGACTCAAACCCCTGACAATAGTACACTAGCTTTTTCTCATTTTTAATTTCCTTTATGTTACAGTTCTTCCTTCTTATCATATTAAATAGAAAGTAAGATGATATTCTCTTACTGCTTTTAGCTTGTGCAGACCACAGGAGGAAGAGCACGAGGGACACTGCCTTTGACGTTTCTGAATGTGTTAGCTTCCCAGGCCTGTCACGGTAGGGAAACTCTACTTTTCTTGCATTATTTCTTTGTATTACTTTTTTAAGCTTTTCTATCTCTACACAACATCTTCCCTGAGGCAGTGGTTTCAGAATGTGTTTCTGGGAATTCCAGGATTACTGTGTTTCATAGGGTGACGAGATGATGGGCTTTTCATGGACAGCACTGTGGGGAACATGCAATACTGCTCTAATTTATTCATGTATGGGCCTAATGTACTTTCCAACTCTCACATGAAACACAGAATAGTTCTGAGATGTGCTCATCTGTGCGAGCTCTAAACTATTGAAGTAACAGCACTGTGAAGGGGAAGGGGAGGTGCTGGAATCTGCTTGAAAGCAGCAGGAAAGATTTAGACATACTTCCCAAACAGCATTTTTTATCTCATGTAAGTATCAAAAGTGCTAGTTTAAGCGTGCCTGTGACCTTTCAAGTATTTTTTGGAAGGAGTGCAGTAAGAATTTACATCTTCCAAGGGACTGTGGTTTTCCAGCACCTGGAAATGAGCAGACCTTGAAGGTGTAGACTGCAGTAGCTCTAGCCTCTTGTGGCAGTTCCTGTGTTACGCTATTAACAAGATTATGCTCAAGGGGTAAACGTCAAGCAAAACCATCTATTTGCATGGAGTGTCACTGCATTCTACAAATGGTAGACAATACATGTATCTAAAAAAGTCCCACAGCTGAAAGGCAGTTTGCAGATGGTCTTGGGCATCTGTGCAGGCTAAAGACTGGAAACACCTCTGAAATGACTCCTTAATGTTGTGTTTGGATTTCCTCTGGATACCATTTAGTGCTCACCTGTGAGGAAGGGATGTAGTGGCAGGGCTGGCATTTGGTCTTGGAACTGGTGGCTGTCAGTGGCAGGCACATAGAACTGATAAAGACTACAGAACTGATATTAGCTGTTGTCTTACGACTTTGATTTGTTAACTGGTGGCGTCTTCAGCCATCTCACACACGCATGTATTAAAAAGAAAAAACAAAACCAAGCAGCCCATTTGCCTCTTGCAATGTCACTTGAAAAGCCAAAAACTAGTAATCCATCGGACTTGGGTTAGGTAAAAATTTAAACCATGGAAAGCTGATCCTTATGTAGCCGGCTGGTTAATCGAGCTAAACTTTAAATCTCTGGGACCTGCCTTACTTTCTGTGAAACCCACAGCTGCGGAGGGAAGTCCGCTGGGTGGTTTGAATTCTCTTTGGCAGCGTGTGCAAGAATTTGTTGGGTTTTTTTCAGGAGCTATTAAGTTTAATGAGCGTTTGACTTTGGAGGAGAGCTGCAGGCTTATTGAAGCTTTGTCATCTTGCCAGCTGCCCTTCCAGTGTGCTCATGGAAGACCTTCCATGATGCCTCTTGCGGACACAGACCATCTACAACAGGAAAAGCAGGTACTGTGTGGGACACAGATACGCCTCTGGTAATCCACGCTCTGGATTATTAAAGGCACGTCATGTACGTGTGTCATTATGTGTGTGAGAACTAGAGTGGGCCAGTTTAAAACCATCATCACTGGCTGTATCTTACGTGAATTTTTACATAGCTTTTAACAGTAAAATAAAACTTTAAAATATTAAACCTCTGTCCTGCAAACACTTTCGCAAGGATCTTAACATATTTCATTTGAATGGTGACATTGACTTGAATGGAATCCACTAATCCTTAAAACTAAGCATGTTTGAAGTTTTTAAGGGTAAAACTTGGAAAACTTGTAGATTTTGATATTCTACTAGTGGAAAAGATGCTGATTGAACAAATGCCTGGTTTTTCAAAGTTTAAGATCATATAAAATGGGGGAAGAAGGCAAAGAAATAGCAACTTTTAAATTAAAAAATCCCAACATTACTCCTTCCCTTTTGCTATTACTGTGCAATAATAAGTTATGAAATTGGACTCTGTTGAAAGTCAGGTAGGACTTTGAATTAGATATTAAACAAATTTGGAAATGACTGTATTAGGGAAAAGGGTATGGAAGCACTGAAGTTCACTTAGTTATGATGTAATGCTTCTTAATTTTTCTCCCTCCAGCCTAAACCTAATTTGGCTAGACTGCGGAAGATGGCCCGAGCATGGCATCTATTTGGGAAAAAAAAGACACCGATCAAAAAACGTTAAGACTGTAAGCTGCAACCACCAGAAGTGTTGGTATGATCCAGGTCCCCCTGTTGTACCACACTACCGTGTGTGGAGCTGTTTCTGATCTAAGTACTGGCCTAATATGCAGAGACCAGCCAGGAGAACATGGCAGGAGGAGCCTGCTCTTGTAGCCTGGAGAAGAGTCTCTATCATTAATGAATTACACTGTATGCCTGAGCCTTACTGGAGGCAAGAAAATGCAGCCACTCGCAGTTACTGAAGTGTTTTTTTGCTGCAAGCACAGCATGATTCTGCACAACTGAGAGAAGACTTTAATTAATGTGTTGTATAGTGCTTTGAAAATGGGGAGGTTTTTATTAATAAAATTAACACTAAACTCTTTCTTTGGGCTCATGGCAGTGGTTGGAATGAGGATCAACCAGCTCCCTAGTATATACAGGCCAACTTAGGATGAAAAAACATTCTTTTTATTTAACCAGGCAATGAACGACACACCCAGCTGTTTTCTCCAGCTCCCTGCAGTTTGCATTCTTGAGTGAAAGACTTTTAAATCCTAGCATAGCCCAAAGTTCTCAAGGTACAGAAAGTTAGTCCCACATAAATGGCTAAACAGCCCCATAGCATTTTTTACAACAGACAGAATTTTTTTTTCACAGGTTCCAATTCTATTTTGTATCTCTGTTTAAAGTAGAGGAGTAGAATTTATTTCAGAACAGTTAAAGAAGATGATGTCCTTGTTTAGTCACAGACATCCAACTTAAAACCAAATCACGGAGATATTGACATAGATGAATCAAAAGCAAACCAAGGAATGGAAACTACTTTCATTTCATGCTTTAACTGTGGGTTAGTGTAATGCCATACACTGGTAAAAGCAATTAAGGAAGAGTGATCGATTGACTTCCAAGAGCCTGAGATTTCTAAGATGTTCCATGCTGCCCCTTGCAAAAATCAAGAACTTCCTGAAGAAGACAAGATGTCCACTCAAGAAGAATAATGAGTCACACAATTAGCACAGGAGAGAAAAGACCTTCAGACTACAATAAGCAAAGTAAGAGCTTGAGCTGTGCCTTCCAACACGGAGGTGAACAAGCTAGCTGGGACTTCTGAAGGTTTGCCTTTCATCAAGAATGGAATGTCTGTTCCAGCATTGTAGAAAAAGCTGGTTTGTATTTCAGCAACTCACCAAAAATCCTCAAGAAATTCTACCCAAAAAGCCCTTTTTGAAGACAATTGTCAATGGATTCCTATCACATCCATATGTGGAAGCACAATTTAAAGCCCACCATTGCATCATAGTTGCAGGCAACTCACTACACAGGTAAAATTTCTGCTAGTTAGGGAAATAAAATGTGCTTAACAGTGAGATCACTGTAAACAGCCTCTATTGCAGCACACTTTAAAGTAACAGCTTAGCTGCCCCAGAGAGTCAAACGTATGCCTTGCCATTTCAAAGTCAAAGTGGGTTAGCAGCTCCATGTGGCTTCTAACACAGCACAGAGATGAAAACCTGTAGAAGAGCTTTGCCTTCTGTTGCTTTTGCTGAGAAAATTCCCCACAACAACCTGTCTTTGCAAAGTACACTTTAATCAGCCGTTATATCTTTCTGAAGAGAAAGACAGGAAAAGTCTGGAGTGATGTGTTTCACGGCATTAGAGTTCATAGTCGTCGGGATGATAGAGCTCACTCATGAGGCGGTAGATGTAGGAAGGCGCGTTACCCCCGATGTTAGAAATGAAGAGAGTAATGAGCTCTGGAGGGACGTAGTCAAACACAGGGCAGTGAACATTGATCTTTGCCAGGATCTCCCCTGTAAAGCGAACAGCAGCAGTATTAGACAAAGCACCACGAAGTACACGTAGCCTTCTGCACATCTTCCTGAGCCCTGGAGAAACTGGCTATGCATGTGCTACCCTGAGGTCAGTACTGAGACAGCCTGAATACTTTCCAGTGTCCTCACTGATGGCACTGAACTACAGACACACAGCAATCCTGGATGAATGGCAACACTCTATTCTGGTAGCTTTTCCTGTTAAAAACCCCAGATCCTCTCTGAAGTAGATTTACTATTTGCAAAAAAACCTGCCAGTATGTAATAAGAATACAAGAATCCCGATGCTGTGACAGTTATTATTTAAAGAAAAGCTCAGAAGGCCAAAATCAAAAACCTGTGCTAAACCCGGAATCTTCAAGTCTTTGTTACATAGAAACAGGGCTTTGGAAGAGACTTTGCTATCTGAAAATGGGCTTGGGAATTGATGCCTTTCCTAAGATGGTGCCTGTGTGGGAAGCCCACTGCAGAGATACTGGGTTTCAACAAGTGGATCACGTAACAGCGTTTCAGGAAGCTAACAGGAGTTGTAGGAAGGAAAGGAAACTGCCCTTGGTGTTGGGCATCTGCTGTCCCACAGGAAACTGCCACCTGCCTGGCACTATCATCACAATCCTATAATAAACCACTGATTATTTCAGAGAAGAAGCAAAAGCACAAAAATAGCATTCATAGGAAATCCTTCTTCTCTACTTTCTGTAATGGAAAGTTACATATAAAATAGGACAGTTCCCAGCACTTTCTAGTGCTAAAGACAATAGGAACAGATATTCTGTCTTGGGTTACAGGACAGTCTTACGTATAAATATTGTTACCTATTAAAATAATATGTTGAAATTACAGTCTGAACCAGTTCAATCAGCCTGTATTAAGAAGAACCAGTACCTTCCGTGAATGGCAGCACTTCCTGTGGTGACACAAACTTGTAGAATGAATCTTCTTCGTTAGGGAACTGGAAGAGACAGAGTACAGGAAGGTCAGTAAAAAAGAGACTGCCTCATTGTCCTAGTGAAAACATCCTGAGTGCTGGAAGGAACCAAAGCAGCAGAAGATGACTTGCCAGGTGATACTACATCTGTCTGCAGTAACTGCGTACTGCCTGTGCCTAGAACCTCTGTAACATCTAGAGGTTTTCCCTCAGAGCTTTTAGAGCCTTCTATAACCTGGCTGCCATTCTGCAAAGCCTAGGGAACTGGAGCAGAGAAGTGACTTCCTCAGTCTGCAACTTCATCTGACAGAACTGAAAAAGTGTGGAAGAAACAGTTTAGACCATCTTCACGTACCTCCTGTCAGTACACAGGGTCTTTCAACATGAAGATATAAATGGAAATCCGCTGTGGTTGAAGATAAATAAGTATGGTGATGTTAGTCTCTAGTAGGCAGTGGTCTACATCCCTATAGCCAACGCAGTGCTTACTCAGCACTTGTGGCAGAGGAGGTTTTCTTCAGGGAGATCCCGAGGCATGTCAGATTTGGGTGAGGACCTCCTACCTGTAGTAGCAGCATTAGATAGGGGAGATAGCTCATTTACCAGCCTCACCTTGGGACAGGCGGTGCCTTCCACCCTAAGCTTCCAGAACCATAAAATCACCCCCATCTCTGTGTAGAGCACGTGCAATCTTGAAGAGCTGCTGTCCTTACCTGCGGTGAGAGCTTGAACATGGGGGCACACACTATGAGCGGAGTGGAGTGGTGTTTAGCTGCCAGTGCCAGCGTGTGAGTCCCACTCACAGCAATCAGGGCGCCGTTGGCCAGGATTGTCTTTGTACCAATGATGACCTTAAAAGGTAAATGAGCATTAGATAGCACGTTCCACAGCAAACTGGGGAAGGAACGCTTCCTGGCTCAGACCCTGCAGGATGAGCTGGAGGAGGCGTTTGTAAGAACAGCCAGGGCAGCTGGATGCTGATCTGTTTCATCTGGCACTGGCTCTGTACCGAGATGTTCCTCTCTTAACAAAAGAATGACTCCAGCATGGTGAAGCCAACAGAGAGAACTTCAGAGGACAAACATATGTTCTACTGCAGGGAACACCGAGCAGAAACTGGGCTGTGTTCCCTGTTGTTCTACTAAGCCTGCAGAGTAAGCTTTATACAAGTAACTTCACTGCTGGCTGCAACAATTCCCTTGCAGTAAAATGGGAATAAAGCAGTTTAAAATATATAGATAAGAAGTTATGTGGCTAGATGTTATTGTTTGTTACAAGTACTTTTTCTTTTTTAGTTTGGGGTGCCGAGTCTTCAGCTCTATAAAAGCACAGAACAGAACTGTTGGAAAAAACACCTTGGTGATTCCCTTCACCATCTGCCTTGTGTTCCAGGCAAGTGGGGTTTCTCCCCTTTGGAAATGCTGCTCTTTGTTCCATCTTCTTTAAAAACTGAAGTTAACCCTCTGAGGCTCTCCTGCCTTGGTTTCTTGTAATTGCTGTGCCTGTTAGCCACCAAGGCAGAAAAATGTATCACTCTGCATCAGTCATCATGTTGACTTGGGGTTCCACACTGCATCTCAGCCTTACACCCTGGCTGTAATTAGGGACTAGTAGAATTTTAAGTCTTCAGTGAAGAAAGGCATCCATCACTGCTGGGACCTGTAGCTGGTCTGAGAGGCCTAAGCACCCAACCTGCCATGAATTCCCTCCTCCACTGAAGCCCTCCTTACCTTGTTGACTCGAGACATGACAGCAAAAATAGCTGCATCGCTCATGACAGTAGTTTCAATGTTCTCTTTAGACAGTCGGACAGCCATTTCGTGACCCTAAAAAGAAGGAGAATCCAGGTGGTCCCCTGGGACATAGCTCCTCCACTGCAGTCGTAGAGATATTAGCACTGAATTCTTGTTTGAACTGCAAAAATACCAAGCAATGGAGCACAAATACAGCCCTGAAACTGAAGGACACGGGGTAGGATAATGAGTTATTTTCAGTCTCTCAACTTCTATAATGTTCCACTCGCCTCCAGAGACAAGTGTTCAGTAAGAACACGCAGGACAATGTGGTGCCTGGAGAAGGCAGCCAGTCTGGGCCTCACCTGGCAGAACGGCGCACACTCCGCCACAATGACCTGGAACTTCCGCTTGCGGGCGGCTTCCTTCAGGAAGGCCTCAACGGTGCGCGAGTAGCCAATGGTCATGATCACCTCGTTGGAGTGGATGTGCTCCAGTGCCTGCATGGCAATGTTATCGGTGGTGCCCTCTGAAACAGAAGGAAGCCGTGTGTGGATAAGCATCCAGGAAAAGCAACGTTTCTCAGGTGACAAAGAGCACAGGCCAATAGCCCCCCATACTGTTCCCTCCACTGTTCCACCCATCTCTGTCTAACCTAAAGAGGACTTACGACTAAGTCCTGGGAGCAGGATTAAATCCTTACAGGTTTCTTTCCACCTAAGAGAAGGGGGAAGCATCAGTCCCATCCCATAAGAAGCACCACTTCTGGGCAGTTCAGACCCATCCGTACCTAGCTCTATTAGCAGCTCATTAATAGCTTCAATAACGTTAGCTCTGAGGGGGGGGTAAGGGGTGCTGAAATCCTCGCTCAGTCCTCCAGAAGTCAGGAGTTTGTGCAGGGATTCTTGCTGGTCGCTTTCCTCACTGCGCCCGTGAAGCCTGTGGAGAGAAGCAGCTCTTCAGCTTCAAGAGAACATGCAGGGGCATGGCCAGGCTGACTAGTGTCCCCACAGCACACTTGGGTCAACAGAGAGGAAGGAAAACCATGTCACGGAGCTTCCCTGGCTGTCTCTGGCAGAAAGATGCCTAAAGCTCTGCCAGGAAGCACCTTCCTAAGTCATGTGCAAACACCGCAGCCCACAGATGAGGCACGAGCTAAAGGCTGCTGCTTGAGTGAGATGGATCCTCCTGGGGATGCAAGGAGAGAAAAGCCCGAGGTCAGGGCAGAGATTGTTCTCATGCACCCACAACACAGGCCAAGTGGAGTTTCACTAGAGGAAATGTCATCAGCTATGCTGAAAATGACAGGTTTCTTTTGATATTATACTTCTTGAATATAGGAGAGGTGGGAAAAGGGGGTGATAGAAACTGAAGGTGTCTCTCAGAAGCAACAGAACACACCGCAAGGGAGGGCTGTTCTGAGCTCCTAGGAGGGGCACAGGCAGCAAGAGAGGGG